TGCTGCCATCTCCCCGGAGCAGGGGTGGGGCTGCCGTCTCCTGGAGCAGGGATGGGGTCAGGCCTGCGTACCCTTCATGCCCTCTGCCCTTTCACAGCTTTGGGCCAGGGCTGGAGAGGGGTGCAGCCAGTACCACCCGGTGATGTGCCCCAGAGCCTGTCTCTGTCTTGGAACTCCTCAGGCCCTAAGTGCAGTGGAGAAGGGGATGACACGCCTCCACTGTGGGGTACCCCACCTTCCAGCCGTGATCGTACCCCACAAGGGCTGCGTGGTCCCAGCCTTGGGACAGTTCTCAGTAACTGCCTTTCTCTTTGCTTTCCAGCCAGTTGTTTTAGGTTTGACGTTGGACCTTCAGCTGCTGTCAAGAACGTCAGCAAAACTACTGGTCACATTCGAGTCCTCCCGAGTCCTCAGGTTGGAGGAGTCTGGGATAGCCACTGTTTCCTCAAATGGTTTAACCCACATCCAAGATTCAATCCCAGTTATGGTCACCAGGTGACTCTGTCCTAGTAGACCTGGTGCGAATGTGGGTAAGGTCTTTGCGACACGGGCAATAAATGTTATTTGTGGAACCCTGAACTGGCCACTGTGTAAACGGTAACCTCTGGTCGGGGGGCTTGTTCTCCATCTCTGTGTTGCTGAGGGAGGGAAGTAATTTCTGAGTTTCTCGTCTCTCTGCCAAGGGGCAGCAGACCCAGTGGGCAAGGGTCCTGAAATGGTTTTAGCACCTGGTCTGGTGGATCACACTGGAAGTGGTGTAGCACTCATGCGGTGTGGATTTGAAAACCGAGCTGCCCTTCACAGCCTGCGAGGTCACCCGTTGCGCACATGACACGGGGTGGGGTGCAGTCACAGTGCCACACGCCCGTCACCACTGATTCCAGGGCACGCTTGTTGCCATTAAGACCCTGTACCCATGGAACAGTCCTTCCTCCCCCACCCCAGCCCCTGATAACTGAATGTCCCTTCCAGAAAGTCTTCTGCAGCCCAGGCTGTTGTTATAAGCTCATCTCCCTGACTGAGAGCAGCTGGTGAGTGTCTTCCTGCTGGAAACAATCCTCGTAGTTATGGGCTTCTCTAGGTTCTGAACAAAGCAGACCCCACCAGCTACTTCCATGTGTGATGGGTCTTCCTGTCCGTGGGAATGACAGCCCCACCATCAGCTCACCCCAGCAACCACCCTGAACAGAGCAACTGAGAGCTGCTGCCTCAGTTGGGCCGGGCAGGAGATCAGAGACGCTCGAGGTAGCTTCTGTCCTTGACGCAGCGTGGTGCTTCCCAGCCAGGGATGAACCGTCCCGAGGACATCCTTGCCGCGGAGCCTCTCTGTGGCTGCCGGGTCTCCTGTGGCCTTTAGACCGACGTGCGCTCCACCTGCTGGCATGCACCATTATACTGAGAATGCAAACGGCGTCATGGCTTTGGAAAACAGAACTGTCATTCCAACTCCAAAAGGCCACAGTGCTTCGGGCTGGGACGTTCCTCCACAGAACTCAACAGTTCATCTGCTTCTGTGTCCGTTGTCTGTTCAGTACCCATCTCCCCTTGGGTTTCAGAGGTCAGGACATGGATGTCTTTGGGGGCCATTGTTCTGCCAACTATAGTTCCCTGGCACGTTCTCCAAAGCCCGGAGCACCGAGTACCCTTACACAGATTTTCTGGAAGGTTCCTAAGCTCTAAGCCAGAACCTCAGGTACACTGGCCTCCTGTGACTTCCCAGTGGGCAGCAATACCCAGCACTAACTGGGTTTCTGGCACCAAGGGGAGCAGGCCAGTGGAGGTTCCCGAAGATGGCAGCGGGGAGTGCTCTCTCCCCGCCACGGGCACCTGACAGTTGGGTCTTGATGAAGCTGGTGTATTAGCCAATCCGCCGGGCCTGTCTAGGGTGGGAGATGGGCTCTTAGGTTGGTTGGCTTGTTTCTAGTCCCACAGCTGGTCAGAGGCAGAACTGGACTTGGAACCCAGTTCTGAATCCAGAGGTCGGGATTTGTCCAGCAAGCCAAACCACCTGTCACTTATTTCAGACACAGCCCCGGGAGGGAAGAGTTGCTGTGCTATCCATCTCAGGTGAGAAGCCTCAAGCTCATAGAGGCTAAGTGACTTACTGCTGCTCACACGGCTGGTCTGCGGCAGAACTGGGGTTCAAAACCTTGCCTTTTGGTCCAGATCCCTTAATGTGACTCCGGGGGATCCCAGTTCCAAGAGACACCCATCTGAGAGTGTTGCTATCAATAATGAACCTGGTTTGTACAGGGTGGCACCTAGCGGCACTGTCTTGGGCTGCGACCTGGGCAGCTGTGAAGGGTCTTCATTGAGGTAACACTAAATCACCTAAATTTGGAGTCCTGGCTGTTTCCTACTAGCCCAGACCCTGGGCTTGCCAGTGTGCTTGCTTCCACACGCCCCCTGCTGGAGACCATCTGTCTCCACCTCCCGGACTGAACCTACTGTGTCAGATTCGTGTGGCCAGTGCTCCCGCAGAGGATGGGACACGGCGGATGAATGAGGGGCGGGGGCATGAACTCTGGAGCTCCGGCTGTGCAAGGAGACGTCGTCACTCTCGTGTCTGGAAGTGGCCAGGTACCCGGGTACCTTGGGAAGTCGACCTGTGTCTGAAGAGATTGCGGAGGGGCCTCGTAGGAGCACTGGATGGCCTGCAGACAGCCAGATGCCCACCAGCCCCCATGGCCCTGTCTGCTTATTCCTACCTCCTGCCTGGCTGCCTAGGCCACATGGGCTGACCTGGGATTGCAGGAGGAACCTGGTGTGGAGAGATGTGGCAAAGGTCAGAAGAGAGGCTGAAAGACCTGATCAGGGTCAAGGACGGCCTTGAGGTTTCATTCTGACCTAAGCTCCCAGCTAGAGGAGTTGGCCTGGCCTGGACTCAGAGGGGCTCCCTCTGGCGGCCGTGCTGAGAGCTGGCCATGGCGAGGTGGTAAGAGGCAGGGCGGTGCAAGTGGACAGCTAGAGTCACACCTGCTGACTTGTTCTATAGCCACGAGGCCAGAGGCAGTGCCTGGGGAGCAAGTGCTGGTGGGGGCAGCAGAGACTGCCATAATGTGGTGCCAAGGTAGGAGGAGAGCCGTGCTGGCCCCAGACCCACTGCTGTGGGTCCTGCCTCTGCCTCGTCCACATTATCCAGACTGTTGGCAAATGGGTTATGGAGCATGCACCAGGCAGGCAGACTGTTCCTAGTTCGAAAGACTGTTACTGTTCTAGTCACTGAAACAGTGCTTCATTGTCTTCTGCACAGGTGCTCACAGGCTATGGTCTGAAGTTAGGTCTGGAGTTACACAGGCTGGGGCTGTCTTAAGCCCTGGCCTGCTAATCGTGTGACCTTGAGTTGCTCATTCACCTCCTGAGCCTCACCACATCTGACATGTGGGGTCAGCTGCCATGCAGTGACAGTTCAATGACAAATTAAGACCTTGGTGAGGGCCTGGTGGGCAGAACTTAGGAACTAGTGCCTACCCCCCATCGCTCTCCCATCCTCTTTCTGTCTCCGGTCATTTTCTGGCCATAAAGGGCCATGTGGCGGAGATGGTTTCTGCACCCCCTCAGCTCAGACCTGCCCCAGTGCTGACACTGCTGACCTGTGTATTCCTGACACGGGGGCTGCCTCTTGCTCGCACCTGGTCCTCAGGGTAGCCCCAGCAGTGGCACTTCCTGGTGGAGATCGGAAGGGTTGTCACTAGGCGGCAGTACCTTGCAATGGGCCCCTTTCTCTCCTGAACCACCTTCCCAGCATAGATCTTTTCATTAGAGCCCGTCTTGGCATGGGCCATCAGGGTCTCAAAGGAGTCAGCATTTGAGAGACACTAGACCATCAGTGTTTATCATCAGCGTAGACTCTCCGCTCTGAGTTCACAGGTTGGCCTTTACTCTGAGTGCATGGTCTTGTTGCACGTGAAGGGTGGCGTCCTGAGCAGAGCACTGTTGGTGCAACCCGCTGATCTGACCCTGTAGCTTGTTTTATGGGGTGCCTACTACGTGCTGCGGGGCGGCCAATCCCTCGTGTGCCTCTGACAACCAGTGTGAGGCCTCTTAATTGGCTTCAAACATAGCTGCAGCCATCCAGGGCTGTTTAACGATCTTGGGTAATGAGCTTTCTCCGCCTCAGTATTTGTTTAGTGCTTTATTCATGGACACGGAATGGTGGTAACATCCACCTCACGAGAACTTAATGATGTATGTGTTTGGTGAAGTTCCCAGATCCTGACCCTCAGGTGCTAGATCTGTTTGGGGACATGTGAAATGTTTTGCATCACTTGCAAGAAAGAAGAAGGTGGTTTTTTTCCTCAGGAAAGGAAGAGGCATTTCACAGCCAAACTTTCTACAGTGAGACTTCTGTCAAAAGCTGCAGAAAGCAAGTACTTGGAAATTTCCAGTTCTTCACTGAAAGGAAGGAGTCCACCTCATCACAACCAAAACAATGATCTTATTCCTCCATTTTCTGATCTGTTCATCAGTTCACTCACCCACCCACCCATGACCCACCATCCCACCATCCATCCCTCCACTTTGCTTTGCTCTACTTTGGTGACGGAGAAAGAGACTGCACTTACCCATTGGTCGAGCTCCTACAATCAGGGTAGCCACTATTCCTGTTCCCTCCTGGCACCCATGGCTCCACCCACCATCTATCCATCCATTCATCCACCCACCATCCACCATCCACCATCCACCATCCATCCTCCCATCCTCCCATCCATTTACCCATCTATCCATCTGCCATCCACTCACCCATCGTCCACCCATTCACACGTCTACTCACTCTTCCACTCATCCATCCTCCTACCATCCAGCCACCCACTATCCATCCATTCCTCCATCTACCCATCCATCCACTCATCTATCTACCACCCACCCATACACCCTCCATCTCTCCATCCACCATCATTCATTTACCCTCCCATCTACTTGTCTGGCATCCATCATTCACTCATTGCCCCCCCCCATCTCCC